TGCAATTTCAGCTAATGGTACTTTCAAATATATATCACAATTTCATGCTCCAAACTACAATTCAAAAGAACGTGAATAAAACTGCTTTTGATTTATGCATCTCAAGCTACATAATGATTGCAACAATATATAGTTTACGATCAGTGAGGTGCTCATGCTGAAGTTAAAGAAAATCTTGCATAAACACAGCAGTTAATGGCTTTGAAATTATTGGCACAAAATCAGGCACAGCTTGATTGGAAAAGCTTTATATATAATTATCCAATACAACAGCTTACATTCACTTTTGGAGGCCAAATCACAGTTTTAGTGATACTATATCTAACCATTTTCTGGGAAAGAAAAAGATCCAACTTGCAAATGGTGGATGGATGCCTGTACTGTCTTTTTCCTGGACCTATTTCTAAATCATTTGTTTGCTAAAACCCCAAAATTGTGATGATTTCTCTATACAATATAAATGTGTTAACTATTTACATTTGGTCTCCAGGTCTACTGGCAAAACCAGATCTTCAGGTTCTTGCAGAAGGATAGAAGAATGGAAACAGATTTTACTGTAAGGTGTTCCAACAATTGGCATTGCAGCAGAGAAGTCTTTTATTCTAAATCCCAATATTTGCAGTTCTTTGACCAATGATCCGAAGTACGACTTCTGTGGGCAGGATAGGCCTGTTCTAGAGGAATAGGGCATCAGGTAATCTGGACCTATGCAATTAAAGCTTTAAAGGTCAAAATCAACATTTTGAATTGTGTTTGGAAGCAAATTGGTAGCCAGTGAAGTTTGTGAAACAACAGTGTAATATGGGTAACCTGGGAGGCCAAAGGTTGCTTTCATGGCTGCACTTTGTACCAGCTGAAGCTTATGAATGAATTTCAAGGGTTGCCCCATGTACACCACATTGCAATAGTCCAGAAAAGTGATGACCAGTGTTTGAGTAACTGAGCACAGGGACTCATGATCCCAGAAAGGTTGCAACTGGTGCATAAACCAGAGCTGTGCAAAAGCTCTCCTAGTCACACCCATCAACTGCTTTGCTGTAGTTATGGCTCCTGAGTGGGGCCAAGACATGCTTCCTAGATAGGCATATGCCTGCCAAAGCTCAACCCAGCACTGCTCTTCAATCCATTGCCCCTGTTTCTGTTGCTGCCACACGTCCTGTCACCATTTTGTTTGCTGCCACTGTTGGCCTGTTTTTGCTGCTTCAGGCATCATTGCCACCTGATTTGTCACCACCACTGGTCTGGAACAACCCACATGTCATTGCATGCATCATTGCTGATGTTTTTTCCACTGCTGCAGTTTGTCCCCACTTGGCCAGCCCTCATTGCTTGGCCCATTGCTGGCACCTGGCCTACTTGGCCCAAGTGGACTATCTGGCCCATTGCTGTTTGGTCATCTGCCACTATCAGGGATATTACCATGGCCACTTGGCCTTCTGCTGCTGCATGGCCTACTGACATGATTGCTTGGTCTGCTGCTGCTAACCACTCACCAACTGATATTTGGTCTGCCGCTACAGCTACACGGTCTGTCACTGTTTGGCCCACCATTGCTACTTGGCCTACCACCACTCAGCTTCTGCTGTTACTTGGCCTATCACCATCTGGTCTACAGCCGATGTCACTCAGCCCACTGCCATTGCCTAGCCTGTCACTGTAGCATATAAACCAATCAAAGTCCTCCAAAATATTCTAAGTAAATCAAAAAACATAGCAGCCTCTAAAGAAAAACCAAGAGTCATCTACCAGCAAACCCTAACCAGCAAACACTCTCCAAATAAGCATAGATTATACTAAGATTAACAGCAGACCAACAATCAAAAAGTAAATAATATAAATAACTGTCAAATAAGCTAACAGTAAACAGCCCAACCCAAAAACCAGCAAGATCACTCCCACCAACACTGAACGGCAAGTCACTATAATATAAATTGAGAACAAGCCTACTTCCTTAGTAGTTCCAATGATGTTACCTAGTTTGGGTAATGAAATATCTGTAAGAAAACAACCAAGCTCAGAGACCAGAAAGGACCCCTCAAGTAGAAATATAGATATGAAGACAATAGGACATCATCTTATTTTTGATCCAAAAAAGATAAATATAAAATATAATTTATAAAATGTATAAAAAGTCTGAAGTTTCATATATCTAAGATCAACAATAACAGAAAATAAAGTGTATGTGTTTACATGTATTTAAAAAGCTCATAATCTGAATGACTCATAATCATAAGCATTTTAGCAATTCCTTCAAAGACATAACTGCTCTTTTAAAATAGAGAAAGAAATAGCTTTGATTTGCACATAAAATATTTTTCTATTTCCCTTCTCATAAAGTACAATATAGAATGAAGAAATTACTGTTTTCCATTAAGCAGTCTTTCACCTGCACAGTTTAAAGTGATTTCTGAGGGGGAATTCAAACAGGTTTTCTGTACAAACAGCTCATCAGATTATAACAATCTTAATGGATAGCTTGATTTTAGTATAACATTATATACTTAAATGGTCAAGCTTTCATCATATTCCATGACTGCTCACCTTGCAGCCATTTTGAAATCGATGTATGATAGAAGTTTTCACCCGTGGTATGAAATATAGCAAAAAATATACTACGATAGTAAGTATGAGGTAAGTGCTCAAATTTAGAAATTACACTCAATCTAAAACAAATTTAAGGATTTTATTTCCCCCTATTGCATGGGGGAAAACCCACAATAAGCTAGTAAATAGCCCACAATAAGCTAGTGAAACATCCAGGCCATTTTTTTGATTCAGGACATGAAAGCAAAACAAACTATCTTGAATTTTTCACATCACAAAGAATAGGTGGAAAGCAATCCATAGCTTATATTATCTATAAATTATGGAATCAAATATAACTGAAAAGCCAGATAAGGCATCCTATCCCTGGTTTCGAGGCCTACCTATGATATGAAAGTAGGTGGAACTTCAACATTTACTGTAAAAGAGCTATTCTAATATACACGACAACAATTCATACATGGTTACATTACAGGGAAAAATTAATACATTAGTAAGCACGCCTCCTATTTGGTTCTTTTCATAATTCTTTCCCTGATGCAACTATTCGGGTCATAGTCTACTTTCACTACATAACAGTCTGAGTTCCTTAGTTGCATGTAGTATTATGTTTGTTAACAATGATTTGTATTTGTCTTACTAGATCCCAAATGTGGTCGATCTTATTTGCACATATTATCTATGATTGGATTTGAAATATTTAGGTATTTTAATCTGACTCTTCATTTTCCCATTGATAGGCAGAATATTTGATTCTATTAATAAGACTCTAACCTGGTAAACAACAAACAGCACAGGATATTTACTTAGTTTTGGAACCTAGTGACCAAGATGTAACAATTTTGTAAGGTCCCCGGTCATAACGATTTATTCACAGCACTTACTGTAGGAAATGCACTTCTCTTTAAAAAAAGAATTTAGATGACTATCTGTTGTCAACAAAATTACATCAATTTCAGATTTCTAAATTTACCTCAAGTTACTTTGGACTATTGGATTAAGGCACTGGACTAACAGTAGAAAGACCTGATTCTAATCCTGCATAGAAATCAAATGAGTGACTTTGAGCCAGTCATTCTTTCTTACTTTAGGAGATTACATGGACTTGCCTGTATATTACCATAAATCATGTCCAATGCTGCATTTAAAAACAGTTTGTAAATACAGTATTTATTCTGTCTCATTTGCAAAATTATTTACATGTTCACAATAACTTGCAGTAAGCAATTATTTAACCTCAATTGTGAATATATTCTAGTTTTTTGGCTCTAAAGGTACAGTATTATAATTTCTTATTTCAATATCAAATGAACTTTGCATGAAACACTCTTTTTAAATCTTGAGAATCTTGTAAGTTTAAAAAACAGTGTTTACTTCTACATTTCAATTCATTATCCTGAAAAGTATTCTGTTTCAGATTAAGTTTAAGAGATGTATGTATGGGTGGGTGAGTGGGTGGATGGATGGAGTACTGAAATTAAATACTTCTGAGGAACTTTCCATGGCAGAAAATTATTTGGCTAGAAAAACTAATATATTTCTGTGCTTCAGCCAAAGCAAAGTGTCTCTGTCTCTTTTTCACACACACACAAGAATTCTCTTTATGCTACTTTTAACTCTACCAAATTACAAATCAACCATCTGCATAAAAACAAAGTAAGGTAAAAACTAAAAACTACATTGTGGCTATAATTACATAATTTTAGCGCAACAATGTCAGTTAAATATAGTATTAAACAGAGAGTTAGCTAATAGAATAGAATAGAATAAAATTCTTTATTGGCCAAATGTGATTGGACATACAAGGAATTTGTCTTTGGTGCATATGCTCTCAGTGCACACAAGAAAAATAAAATAGAATACATTCATCAAGAATCATAAGATACAACACTTAGTGATAGTCATAGGTTAATAGTCATAAGCAATCACATTATACTAGGAAACAAATAAAACAATATAAATTTTAAAGATACAAGCAACATACCCTGTTTCCCTGAAAATAAGACCTCCCTGGATAATAAGCCCAATCGGTCTTTTAAGCGCATGGGCTAAAATAAGCCCTTCCCCAAAAATAAGCCCTCCCTGAAAATATTGCAACACAGCAGCAGCCATGAGGTGACCACACTCGCCGCCTCTTGCACCTCAAAAATAGTAAGACCTCCCCAAAAACAAGTCCAAGCACTTATTTTGGGGGTCAAAAGAAAATAAAGACCCTGTCTTATTTTCGGGGAAACACGGGTAGTTATAGTTAGCTACTAGGAAATTATTATTATAATTATTGCCCTGAAACAAATGTGATTTAAAATAAGCTTAGCTAGGTGATGCCAGTTATATTTTATTTCATAACATTTTTTTCTGTATTTGATTGCATACATTGATTTCACAGCTGTAAGTGTAATAATTTCTATGGAAGGTATAAGATGCATTGATTAAAAAACAAGTTTCATTTAACTTACAGGCTGAAGTAGATATATTAAGGAACACTCTTGAATAATTATGATGGGAAAAGAGGTTATCTTAACTGCATGGAAGAGAGTTTCCACAGATGCCATGATTTGGTCAAAGCGACCTCCAAGTCCACCCAAAGTTATAATCGTGTCCATCTAACAGAAATACAAAACACACATAGAGAAAAAAATAAATATAATGTTGAAGAAAGATCCAAAAATACATTTTGCATCTTTCCTATAAAATATAAATACACATATTTACAAAGCATAAATATTTGAGATGTTGAACAGATTTTAAAAATATCAATAATATATTTACAATGGGGAGAATTTTTAAAATAAGCATATTTGAATATATTAGCCTCATTCATTTTGATCCTCTTTTTTATAGATGATGATGATACAAATTGGTCTTGATTTTCTAGGTTGTAATAACATAGGAATGAACAGAAATAGGAACATTTCATTGGTTTTCTGAATACATCTTAATGACAGATCCATGGAAGTCAAAGCAAATAGTAGCTCAGAGTTGTGATGGCCATGCATTATCTCTAATAACAGTGGCAGTAGATTTTGAAAATCAGTTGCTAAGTAATATGAATAGGAGGAATGAAATGACTAGATTAAGTACTTCATCCTGGAACCAATAGAACTTTTCAAAAGATGGGATGGGATAGAATAGGATAGAATAGAATAATTTGGCCAAGTGTGGCTAGATGCACAAGGAATTTGTCTCTGGTGCAGAAGCTCTAAGTATACTTGCAAAACAATAGAGTAATCATCATCATAATACCAAAAAGAGGGAATAATAAAAAAAAACAAGAAGGCTAATTCTAATATTACGGTCAAACAACCTGGGTAAATACACATAAACAGTAGTGTGAGAGAGGGTGTTGGTACTTATCTGATACGCCTCTTCTAATAAGGTAGAGATAGCATCCATGCATCGGTTAACACTGTCCGCTCTCTGATTGGACTGAGTCTGATTAATAATTAATTAATACCTTTATAATCCGCCCTGTGGGTAGCTCCACCCAGCTTTTGGTAAAGAAAATACACACACACACAGACTCATCGTGTTATGCAAGAAGTTAAAAGTTTAGTAATCCAAGGAAGTCAATTTAGTAACATATGAAAATCTGAAGTACGAATATAACTGTCCTTATACATGTAGTTAGCAACCCCACTTCCTGAATACAGTGATGAGGACCAGTCACCTCTCAGGAGGGGCTGGATGCTATCTCCACCTTATTAGAAATGGCGTATCAGCTAAGTACCAATGCCCTTTCTCAATAGAGGTGGAGATAGCATCCATGCATGGGACATAACCAACCTGGGCTGTCCATACGGAAGGGACCAAGACTGGTTGAAATCATCTGTCAGAATGTATTGATTGCAAGACCCGACGGCCAAATGCCGCATCCGCGGATGAAAATTTATCTAATTTATAATTATTTATAAAGGGTGAAGGTGATGCCCATGCGGCTGCCCTGCAAATTTCCTCTAGGGAGGCTCGCGTTGCCCAAGCAACAGTAGTGGCCGTGCTCGTTAAATGAGTGGTGACCTCCTGAGGAACCGTTTCCTGATTAGAATGGTAAGCTGTAGCTATACATTTCCTGACCCACCTACCTATAGTAGGTATCGAGACCTTACATCCCAACGTGGGTTGGAAAGATACGAAAAGAGTCTCTGAATGTCGGAATTCCGATGTTCCGATGGTCTAACCTGAGCATCGCTCTGTCCTCGTGGAAGGTACACAAGTCCTCTCTAACTGACAGGGCCTGTAATTCCAAAATCCTCCTGGTGTAGGTGATGGCTGCCAGGAAGGCCACCTTCAAGGTGAGGAACTGCAGTGAGGTAGTACGGAGGGGTTCGAATGGTGGTTTGGTGAGAGAAGTGAGCACCTTTGATAAGTCCCATGTGGGGTACCTGTGAACTGTAGGTGGCCTGATATTGGAAGCTCTTTTTTTTTTTTTTAATTAAATATTTTTTTAGTTTTAGTTTAAAACTGGTACAACATCTTTCTTAATATATCAATCAATTACAGATAATACAGAAAAAGACAAAAACAGGTAAGATCAAAACTAACATTGCTTTAAAAATGTAAATCCTACAATGTAGGGGATGGAG